AGAGTGCAAAAAACGGTCTGAAACTCAACATCAAAAAAACTAAGATCATGGCCACTGGTCCCATCACCTCCTGGGAAATAGAAGGGGAAGATATGGAGACAGTGACAGATTTTATTTTCCTGGGCTCAATGATCACTGCAGATGGAGACAGCAGCCACGAAATTAAAAGACCCCTGCTTCTTGGGAGGAAAGCAATGACAAATCTTGACAGCATCTTAAAAAGCAGAGACATCACCCTGCCAACAAAAGTCCGCAGTCAAAGCTATGGTTTTTCCTGTCGTGATGTATGGAAGTGAGAGCTGGACCATAAAAAAAGCAGACCGCCAAAGAATTGATGCCTTTGAATTGTGGTGCTGGAGGAAACTCTTGAGAATCCCCTGGACTGCAAGGAGAACAAACCTATCAGTTCTAAAGGAAATCAACCCTGAGTGCTCACTGGAAGGACAGATCCTGAAGCTGAGGCTCGAGTACTTTGGCCATCTAATGAGAAGAGATGACTCCTTGGAAAAGACTTTGATGTTGGGAAAGTGTGAAGGCAAGAGGAGAAGGGGACGACCGAGAATGAGATGGCTGGACAGTGTCTGCGAAGCAAACAACATGAATTTGACACAACTCCGGGAGGCAGTAGAAGATAGGAGGGCCTGGCGTGCTCTGGTCCATGGGGTCACGAAGAGTCGGACACGACTAAACGACTAAACGAATGAACGAAGAATACACAAAGACCACATGAAACTGGCAGGTGTATTTTGGTATTTGGAATCAGCTCTTTTAGAAGCCAATCCCCCCCACACCCTGTATGTCTCCTAAATTGTGCCCAAGAATGCCCCTGGAAGGACGTTCCTCAGAAATCTGCCCTATTGACCCAGAATAAAGGTCAACATCCGGCCAAAATATCATCTCAGTTCCTGCAGGCTTTGGGGAAGCCAGATGGTGGAGTGCAGTTCAAGGCAGGACTAACTGGCTGGTTTGGTTGCTCACCTTTGCTGTATAGTATGCAACAAGTAAGGAGGAAGGGGACAAGACCCCTGCAGGAAAGAAGCATTCTCCAGGCTGCTGCTGCTTCTGCTCTTGCACAGAAGGGGCAGCCTGGACAAGGCAGGTAGGAGGAGACACTGTGGGTGAAGGCTGGAAAAAAGCCAGTTGGGGTTCTCAACTGCACTAAGTTCTATTTGTCTTGTGACAGAAAATCCTTCAGTGCAGACAACAGATCAAAGATCTGCTCCCTTCATGTTAGCACAAAATCGCAGAAATTCAGTAGAATCAACAGAGTAATGTCCAGTCCAGGCAGTCCAAACACACACAGACAGCTTCTCCCAACACCAAACGTGTATTTATAGGATATATACAGCAGTGCAGTCTGGCAGCGTAACAGCATAGTGTTCATCATAGAACAGGAAGATACATCTACTGTACAAGTTCACACATATATAATTATGAACATCTGCCTGTGGCCAATCACATTAGACATTACATCATGTATGAATCAGCACTCATGAGTCATCATGACTCAGCATTACTACACACCTGTTCATCATGGCTGCTCATTAATACACCTTGTTCTGCTCAGGTCTGGAAATTATTCCTCATACTTCAGGACTTCATTAGCCAGATTTGAGGGTTGCTGGAAAGGAACTGAGCTACTTGTGCAAAAGAATAAACTTTTATTGAGTAAGGATGATTAATGGGTGTGCAAGATACATTAAAGCAAAGAGAAGCTCACAACAAACTTTGTTCTTACCACAAGGGCTCCCCAAAAGCTAAAGAAACTAAATTAGTTAAAGTTAAATATCTGATTTTTACATAATAGGAAACAATTTATCCTATACACAAATCAGGAAAACATCTGTCAAAAGCCTTTCTTTGGATTATGGAAAAAAGATTAAACATACAGTCTTACTATGATAAGCTTATATAGAAAAATGGCAATAGAGCCAATAATACAGTATAATATTATAACCAACAGGTTATAAAGAAAAATACTTTCTTCCTTTACTACTTTCTGTACATAGCTACGATGAAACTGTCCTCTTTTTGCCATTCCCTTGAAATTTAAAAACACACACACCAAACAACAGAATTATGATTTTTGAACATTTTCAAAGGAATACGCTTTCCTATCAGATTGGACAAGAGTATCAAAAATAAAAACGAATCAGGTTTTTGACCTAGCATTGCTAACATGTCTTTGGTTAAAGCAGTACAGAAACTACACAGGTTAACTCCTCACTCACACCCTCCACCACCCGCAAAAAAACTTGGCTAGGGAATGTCCAATTTAAATGCAGAGTTAGGGCAAAGAGGAAAAAGGTTTATGCTGCCCCTTAAAAATTAGGATTTCTGAGGGTGGGGAGGGGGAAAGCTAAAACTAATGGGGATTCACCCTTTCAGCTTGAGCCAGTGATCCGGACTGCCCTCCAATCTGTGCAGAACAGAAACAAAATTCTACTTTCTGCACCATTTCCCCTTGGCTGGCTGTGTGTGCTGCTGTGAGATGGAGAGGCAGTTCTGTGGGACTTGGATGGGGCGAGCAACTGGTTCGAGTCCAGGCATAGGCAAGCAAGAGAGAAGGTGTAAGCCAAAGAAGGCAGGGAACATCTATATCTGGTAGCTACAGCTCCGTTTGATTATAGTGTCATCACTGCTATCCCACATCACCTAACCTATGCATGTTACAGATTGATACAGGGAGCACTAGATAATTCTTTTTATTAAAAATTCCTCAGCAATTTTGATCCACAGGAAAAGAACAGAGATAATTTCTACTGAAGCAGGAAATATAAATGGTGGTAGGGGTGGTATCACCAAAGTTTCAACTTGCCCACCTGTTTTCCGTCTCTCACCATCACCTATTTCTTTACATGAATTCAGTTGGTCATAGATTGGACCTTGCCACTCTCACACCTACTAAGATTCAAAGAGCATCAGCACAACATCAGGCCTTGACTGAGCCAGGAGCACAGTTTTGCCCCAGCAAATGAGGCATTGTTGAAAGTATAGATGAGGTCATGTGTATCAGCATCAGAAAAGGTCACCGATCCTTGTTCATAGTCAAGCGATACACGGATCCTTGTCGGTGAAACAGAAGGGTTGTTGATCTTGAAGTTGCTGTGTATCCAGAACTGCTCCAGAGGTATTCCAGGAGGGGGGAAAGCACAGTGTGTATCATTACTGTTTAGTGACAACTTCCCCACGGCCCAGACCCCTTTCTCAGGGCTTAAATGGATCTTGTTCTGTTCTCTTAAATCCTCTTTGGCTACTCCCACAGTCCAGTATCTTCTCTGTCCCACATCCACCACCCAGGAATGTCTTCCTGAGTTTATTCTCTCAACCCCCAAAACACTGGACCAACAATAAAATTCACTTTTAGAGGCATAGTAATCATGTTTTACAAGAGAAGCTGATGATATGAGCATCTTGGGAAGAGGTATGTCTGTAAGAGAAAAGGAAGTATAAAAGTATTAGAGGCAGTGGCAGGGAGAATTCAGTAAAATCAAAATCTGGTGCAAACCTTTGCCTTAGTTTTAAAATACTGTAGCTCCACATGAAAACAATAACAGCATGGGAACTTCCCTGTAACATGAAAAAGCTCTCTCCCAGGAAAATTGAATCAGAAAACAAATTTTCCCCATGCCATTTAGTACCTTTCACAATTTGGGGGGTAAGAGGTAAAGCTTACTACAATGCAATGATATGTATCATATGCCTTGAACTGGTTCCTGGAGACTATAAATATTTAAATGAAATAAACTGTGATACTTTAAGCTGAAGTATAAGGCTGTTTTACATGGGCACAAGCTCAACAAACTAATGAAATTAAACAAGTGCACCTCAAGACCAGGAATGATACTGTGTGCAATGTCACGCATCATGTTTGCTTATAGCTTACCTTTCAAGCCCAAATGCAAATGAGTTCCTAAGACCATAAAAATGTCACAGAATGCCCTGCTTCTTTTGTTTTCCAGGGTCAAATGAAATGGTATACAATGGTGCCTCGCTAGACAGTTACCCTGCATGACAGTTTTTTCGCTAGACATTGACTTTTTGCGATCGCTATAGCGATTCGCAAAACAGTGATTCCTATGGGGGAATTTCGCTGGACAATGTTTTTTCCCTGCTACGCAAACCGATTTTTGCTAGACGACAATTTGCTTTTCGCTAGACAATGATTTCACTAGACAGCGATTTCAGTGGAACGGATTATCATCATCTGGCGAGGCACCACTGTACTGAAAATTTATCACATAGCTTAAGAGTCAGAAGCCTGGCAAACTGCTTTACTTAAAAAAAAACCAAAAACAAACACCACACCTCATAAACCTTTCACCCACACATCCCCAAATTTGGCACAATAGGTGTCTCCTACGTCTGTGCCAAATTTAGAACTTATCCAAGATCCATTTTTAAAGTTATATTTTTTTTGTTTGGCGCACCTCTATTTTTTGGAATGCTCAAGTGGGCCATCACACAACAATATTAGCAACTATGGAACTTTACCTTTCTTTGCATCAAGTTCAGAGAGCACAGTGTCTGGGGAAGACAAGAAAAAAAGAGAACAAAATTAAAGATGACACTTTTGGACTCCTTAGGCAAGGCTTGATGCGCAAGCATGCCAAATTTTCAGTTCAAGCTGATTGCACTTAGCTACAGTATCTTTACTGTCTTCATTGCAAAAGAAAATCCAAAAATGATAGAACAAATCATCTCAGACTTTCAAAAGTAAGAACCTTAACAAACTGTTTTTTCTATCTAAAGCTAAGCTGAAAATTTCAAAGAATTATCTCAGCCTTTTATGTTGTGTGAAATAGACAAGACCAAACATATACAACTCCCTGAAATGACAGTGGTGTAAGGAGCCATGACAGACAGAATACAGTAGGATCCCCGTATCCTCTGGGGATTTGTTCCAAGCCCCACCCCGTGGATACTGAAAACTATGGATAATAGTGAACACTATAGAAAGATAGAAGGAAAACAACCAAGGAAAAATTATTTTCATATGCATTACCAGAACTGGCCACTAGAGAGTGCCAGAGACTATGCTGTGTTCTTCACTAACGAGTACAGTGGTGCCCCGCATAGCGACGACAATACGTTCCGGAAAAATCGTCGCTATCCGGATTCGTCACTATACGGGGCAAAAAAACCCATAGGAACGCATTAAAACACATTTAATGTGTTCCTATGGGGGGGAAAACTCACCTTTAAGCGAAAATCCTCCATGCGGCCGCCCTTTTCACTGCCTGATAAGCGAGGAAAGGGTGTGAAAACACCGCGGGCGACCATTTTGTTTACCCGGCGACCATTTTGGAACCGCCAATCAGCTGTTTTCTAAACATCTCTATGTGATAATCGGTAAGCAAAACGCTTACCGATCATCGCAAACCAATTTTTAGCCATTGAAAACATCGCAATGCGATTGCTTTTGCGATCGCAAAATCCACATCGCTATGCGGATTCATTAAACGGGGCTCTCGTTATGCAGAGCACCACTGTATTCATAGTAGTCTCTGGCTCCATCCAATGGCGTTGTGGTAATACATGTGACAACAGTATTTTCTGGATTTTTTTTTCTTTTACCTTTTTAATATTTTCAGACCATGGATAAAGGAAACCATAAATATTGATCCCATGGTCACAGGACGTCCTACTGTATTGCTATCATACCCTGCTCATGCACTCATAAACACCAGGCTGATCATACTTAGTCTAAAACAGGGGTCTCCAAACTTTTCAGAATGAAGGTAACATCATATATTTTACACATTTTCAAGGGCCGAAGCAGGGAAAGTTCTATAATGAATGAACGACAGACGGGTTCCCCCACAAAGCTGTACACTGGACTCACCGCCTTCCCAGGGTGGGTCCGAAGCAGAAGAACTGGTGGAGCAGCAGCAAGGGCATAGGAAGAGGAGGGAAGAGGTACCCAAGCAATCCCACACCCTGTTGTCTTTGCAAAGATAGTGGGGGTGAGGAATTGCCTCTGTCAGGCTTCGCTCCTCTTCCTATGCCCACTTAGGCATAGGAAGAAAAGGGGATGGGGGATCCCTTGGGTCCTCCTTCCCTCCTCTTCCTCTGTCTGGGCAGATAGGAAGAGGAGCGAAGCCTGATGGAAGCACCCGCTGTCTTTTCACAGATAGCAGGGATGGGGGATAGCTTCATCCTTATCTCTAGTCACTACCATTCATTCCAGACAGCAGTGGACCCTCAGCATACCAGACCGCGCCGGATAAAAAGGCAAGGAGGGTCGGATGTGGCCTGTGTGCTGTTGTTTGGAGACCCCTGGTCTAAACCAAGAGGATTCTCATGTCCTCAGTGGCAAAGAAAAAAACTATGTAATTGATTACTGCATCCACCATCCATTTTATCAGTAAATGTAATGTTGATTTATAATGGAAATTTTTATCTTTTATATAATTTTAAGAAAGTGTTATGAACAGATAGTTTTCAACAAGTCAGAAGTAACTAATTAACTATATTCTAATTTATTTCAAAATAAGAAAAAACTTAATCCAATTATTTTTTTCCAGCAAGAGTAGATCCACTGTTTCAATATAACTTACATAAGGGTTGATTTATCAAAATCCTGTTCAGTCAATTGTTCTCTGCCAGTTGGGGTTAATAATGGGATTTAGACACGAGACATTGATTCATTACCTTTGATTTTTTTCACAACGTGCTCCAGAACAGAATGGATTTCAGAGAAGTATTCAATATGTTTCCTTAGCTGAGGAAAAGGAATGTTAGGCTTCACAAATTTCTCTCTTTTACACCTAAGGGGAAATCAACTGTAAATTCCTTGCCACATGGGCATCTTCATTTTTGTTAGTTTAGTAGCAGAGTTGAAGGAGACAGAGAATGACAATGGCTCAGGGCTGTACATGGCAAAGGCAGTCAGTTTAGTGTCTAGACTGATTAAATCATAAACTTACAGCAACCATATTTAATTCTAAACCACATGTCTGATGTTAATAATGTACTGGATGAGGTCAAATAAATTGAAGCTTAAAAAGTTAAGACAAAAGGGCTCCTAGTCAGGTGAAAATAAGGAAGCAGGGACTTAACACGTATTACATGACCCCTGAAAATTCAAATGTACTGTACCCAATATTCTAGGGTTCAACCTGAATCTGCTTGCCTAGGTTTCTGCAGTATCATGGAGTGCATTTGCACAATTAAAGCCAGTATGTGTGTCAACTGTGCCTGCTCCAGAATTTCAGCCCTGATGATAATAGCATGCAATCTAAACCAAACTGGACGTAACAGATTTAAGCACTCCACATAGAAATGTCTTCAAAGAAATTTCTAGAAACTTAAAATTCTGTAACCATATTGTTGACAGGACTGTTATGGCGGTCACTTGTAACAAGTTCACCAGTTAGTGGTCTATCTCTGGGTACAATTTTAAGTGCTAGCTATAACCAAAGTTTTGTCCTGATTCTCTGAAGGACTTTGCCTTCACACAGGAACCTGGCCAGCCTTTGAGATCTGAGAGAGGTCCTCTTATTCCTGACATCCACACATATCTGAAGGCAACACAGGAAAGGGCCTTCACGATGGTGACTCCTAATCTGTGGAATTGTCCTCCAAGAAAGGCTAAGCTGGCTTGCTCCCGTTTGTTGCAAAAGAACACTATATTCCAGTAGGTTTTTGGCCACTGAGCAGATTCTGGAGAAGCTTTTAATGGAATTCTGCACTTTCTTTTTTATTGGTGAACTCTGAGTCTCATTTTTGTTCTGTCATGCTTTAGTACTATAATCATCTCCACCAGTACATTGATGACACCCAACTCTATTTTTCCTTTTTATCCAATAGAAGTCATTTGTTTCAATCCTACACGAGTGCCTGATGTAAGGGTGAACAAATGGAGGCTTGATTTAGAAAAGGCAGAGGTACTCCTAAAAAATCAAAAGCAAATCAAGAAATTCAGAGCTCATGTGGAGGCTACACCTGTTCTGGTGGTTATAGTGACACATAGGTACCTCCCACCTAGATTACTTTAATACACTCTTGTGTAGCATGCCTTTGAAAGGTGTTCAGAAATCTCCACAGGTCCGAAATGCTGTTGCCAGCCTGCAAATTCGTTCTAGTGATAGGGAGAAAATAACCTCTGAAGATAGCTTCATTGGCTGCCAGTTTGCTTCCAGGAACATTCAAACTATTTACAACCTATAAACCACATATGACCCTCCTGAGATCTTTTGGAGAATCATTCTTCTTAGTCCCACCATCTTGGGGGCAAGTTTAGTAAGGAAATCAAAGGGGGCTTTCTCAGTGGCAGCCCCCAGGCTGTGGAGTGCCCAAGTTGCTCTCTTTACCCTGTCCTCCCACCAATGGACAAAAAGACCTTCCTTTCTTTAGTGTACAGTTTTAACTGTTCATAACCTGTAATATCTAGGTCCACCTGTTGACAATGGAAGATCAGTATCTTCAGACTAAAATGATCCTGTAAATTCTGTCTGTACACTAGAGGGGAAAGTCAATCACACATCTTCATTCCCAGTGCAAAGTCACATACCTTTGCAAGACACTTTTGATATCCTGTAAAGAAAAGGGGAATGGGGAAGAAGAAAAAGATAAATTTGGCAACATGCAACATTTCTCAAGCAAAATATCAGAGAAGACATTCTGCATATGTTCCAAAGCACCCTTTCATTTTTAATATGATTTATTAATACTGTCTCAAAAATATCTTGTTGGGTAGGAGAGTCAATGTATGCCAAGACAGAAGGGGAATTAAGTTTCCTCTTGTCTTTCTTTTCTGGGAATGGCTACATCCACACCTCTCTTCCCTCCAGTCTAGGTAGATATAGCAGAATGCCACAGCACTAAACATACAATATGAGCCACAAAGGGAAAAGATTTTAATAGGCTAGTGGCAGAACATATCCGCTTTAAACTGTGTGTGTGTGTGTACACACTTGCATATCTGTATATGCAGAGAGGAACATTTTGCTTTTAGAAAGATTCAGAGCTTTTTCTACTTTTCCATGTGCTCAATACAGTGGGGTCTTGACTTAAGAACGGCTTGAGTTAAGAACATTTTGACTTAAGAACCGCTCTCATAGGAAAATATTGACTTGACTTACATACTTAGATTTGAGTTAAGAACTGAAAAAAACCCACGTGGGAGGCAGGGAAAGTGCAAAATTTGAACTTTCAGTTAACTGTTGGCCAGTGAAAAGGGTGCCTGTCTGCTTCCTCACTCCTCCCAGCGTTTAGAGAGTGGATTGGGGGACAGTCTTCGGACTGCCTGGTACTGTATTGCCTGGACTGTATTTTCCTTGCCTTCCCTGAACCTTTCTTGACCTAAGAAAAAAAAGAAACAGAACATCCCCCTCTAGTGGTCGAAGGCGGAATAGCAGCTTCCCATTAGTTTCTATGGACGGAAAAGAGCAGATACGGATCAAATGGTTTTCAATGCATTCCTATGGGAAATGCAGATTTGACCTGAGAACTTTTTGACTTGAGAACCGCCTTCCAATACGGATTAAGTTCTCAAGTCAAGACCCCACTGTACCAAGAAATTTGCTCAAAGAACAGCTGGGGCTCAGGTGTCAAGAAGACTTTCTGTCTGGATGGGAATGGAACTCATTATGCTCAGAGACATGCTCTTCTCCAAGCAGTTTTCAAGGAAAGACCAGCTGAGCTCTACAGTTTGTAATCTGAAGTCATGGATAGGGGACGGAGGAAGGTGAATCTGGTTTTCTTTCAGAGGTGAGAAAGAGAAAAGATCACTGGCACTCATTGGGAAGTGCATAGTATATGTCCTTGAATCAGAAAATGCTTTTCAATATATACAAGCTATATTTCTTTCTCAGTCCTAGTCAGTTTGCAACTCAGACATTGGAAAGAATTTCAGGGGTTCAAAACACCACAACCATATGATTTGCATCTCCTTCAATTTTTATATATTTTGCTACTTTTAAAAAGAGGCATTGTTTTATTTTTCTTCCCCCCCTGCCCCTGAATAGTAGAATAAGGGAAAACCTTCCAACTAATATGACAACCCTAAGAATGGCTCTGAAGAAATGAGTTATAATTTATTAGTTAATAAGAGGAAGAGGAAGGATGTCTGCATCGTTGAAATTGTAATTCCAGAGGATGCCAATACAGAATTGGAAAAACTAACAATGTACAGACACTTGGCCATCGAAACATCTCGCCTGTGGAAGAAACACCCTTCGGTGGTCCCTGTACTCATTGGGGATTTGGGAACAATATCAAGAAATTTCACCCAGTATTATAAGCAGTTGCAGATCTCAGAAATCACACCACCATCAGAGCTACAAAAAACTTGTACAGTGGTGCCTCGTTTAACGAGTGCCTCGTTTAGCGATGAATTCGCTTAACGATGGGTTTTTAAAGAAAATAATATGCACCGTTTAACGATGTTTCCTATGGGCGATTTTCGCTTAGCGAAGTTTGGGACCATGCTTTGCATAGCGAATGCATTTTTAGGTCCCCTGCTTCGCTTAGCGATGTTCGCTTTTTTAATTTAAAAAGTGTCTTAAAAGGGTCAAAAACGGTTCTAAATGCTTGGATTCGTTAGAGCACCTTCTAAAACGAGTGCAAACTTAATTTGGCTTTGATCTGACTTTTCATTAATTTTT